GTATATGTGTTTGCTTCTGCATGGGAATAAAAAATACTGTTAATAAAATGGACCTTGTTAAATTGATTTATAAATTTAGTGTGCTTATCATAAAAATCCCCCAAAATTATTTTGGTAAAACTTCCAATAACATTCTAAAGTTTATTTGGAAAAAATAAACAGATGAAAATAGTTAATAGGGCTGCTTGGATTTACATAATTTCAGAGCAGTTGACTTCCTGAATTAACTAGTATCACTTATTGAGCTGAGGTATGTCAGTTTACTGTGGGATGGGCAAGTTCATATAAAGAGGGCTTCACGACAAGTTTTGTAGGTAAAGATGATGACATACCGTGACTGAAAGCAGTAGGAGTAGAAATAGATGAGGATTCTACAGATGGTGATAGAGCTACCATATAACATAATTAAATATCAACTTTAATGAGGCTAATGGAATGAAATAGAGTACACTGAATACTAAAATTATATCTGATTTTTCTTTACTTATTCTGAAAGGAATTTGGAATAGATTGGGGTCATTAGTCTCCTGATGCTCTGTTAACTTGTAGAAACAATGCTAAAGAGGATTTTGGAGAATTGGATGCCAGACAATGTGGCCACCCACACACAGTAAAGAGTGAAAGATCCATTAATTCTGACTAAGAGGTAATAAACAATTGAAATGCCAGAAAGTACTCAAAAGGACAAAGAATCAGAAGCAGCCTATTAAATAAACTGGGCGATGCTCATGAAAATACCTTAATATCATTACTTCAAATTGACAAACAAGTGTAGAATATTGTCAGTCTCCAACAATTCTCATATAAAACCTAAGTCAAAATAAGAGTTTTACATATCTGTGATGAAATGAAGTTGAGCTATCACTACTGTACATGTTAAAACCTTAGAAAAATGATCTAATTATGCCTCTACTTTATGTCCTTTTATATGCACAGGTATTCATACCCATTAGTATCTTATATGCAGAAATAAATTCCCAATGCTTTATTTATTTGTATTATGGCAATATTACTCCTGTTGTATAGAAGATGGTGGTAGCCTGAGGAATTCAACTGTTGAATACAAAGTTGCCATTCCCCTCTCCCCTTTAAGTCAACCACAGAGCCAAGAGTCAAAATATTTTCATTTTATTCTTTACTCTCTATTTATTCAGTAAGTAACTAAGTAATTACTAAACATTTTTATCTTGTTCCTGAGACTAAAAAGGCTTTTCTGTGAAATGGAAAATAAATGTTTTATTTTATCTCCCCAAAGAGTTGTGGAAGTTAACGTGATTGAAAATGGGTAGTGTTAGAAATTTTGCTTGCTACCATGAAAAAAATAAGCAAACATGGACATTATTGTTCTGTTATAGTTTTACCAGCTACGACGTTAATGATTATAATGTAGCATCCTCTTGTCTGTCACATTGCATGTGTTCCTCTGTGCAACTGATTCCTGCACAAAGCCATTCTATCTGGGCTCTTTGGAAAGCTATTTCTCTTGTCTGTCATTGCTTATAGTAAAAGAGCATTTATTTTATACAAACTCTCAAATTCAACTCAGTTATTCCACCAACCAGTCTAAATAAATATCGTTTTATATTATCCAGAGAATTATCTTGGGGAAAGAGAGTATTGTATTAATTATTAGATTTGTCTGTTGGAAGTTAACTTACAATACCCAGAAAACCCTACAGAATGCCTTCATAAGCATGGCTCTGTATCACTGAAATGGCTTGTATCACTTGAATTTCCTTCCCAACACATTTCCTGCTGAAAATAAAAAATTTTCCTCTTAAAAAAATTTGAGATGAGTCTTGTGGCCCACAGGTTTATTGAGCCCACCCTCCCTGATTGCCTAGGAAATCCAAGCAGCATTCAAGCATGCCCTTATTGTTGATGGAGTCAGAATGAGCTGTTGATTCCCAACAAGCCATGCTCTTTTATATATATGAATATGAGATACCATTGCCTGGAATATCCTCTTCATATCCTCTGTTCTCCCAGTCCACTCAGCACATGCCACGCT